TTTTGATTATTATATGCCTGGGTGTAGCTCTGTTTGGGTTGTAGGGGGCTGGGGTCCTGTATGCCTCATACATCTGAGTATCTTTACCTTTTCCCATATTAGGGAAGTTCTCCTTGATTATTTCTGTGAATAGCCTTTGCAGTTCATTTGTTTTTACCCCTGCTTCTTCCTTTACATTCTTAATTCTTAAGTTATAGATCCTCGTATCATCTTCTAGCCTTTGTATTATTATTGCTTATTTCCTTGTTATTTTTAAGAAGTTTTTCCTTTCGCACTCCCACATTACAAATCTGTCCTCCAGTTCAGATAATCTATCCTTAGTTTCTTTCAAGCTGTTATGCCAGCTTTTGATAGAGTTTTTAGTTTCCTGGTAATCTCTTTGAACCTGCTTCACGTATTCTATGTTTTTTCTATTTTCTCCATCAGACAATTCTCCCCTCTTTTTCTGTTCTTCCATTCCACCATCTGCTTTTTCTTGGGTGGTGCTTAGCATTTCTCTAACTATTCTGCTTATGTCTTGCTTCAGGTCATTAATAACTTCATTCCTGAACTTGTCTATGAGGCTCCGGAGATATCGCTTTATGTCTATTGGTGCCCTATCTGCTATTGCCTGTTTCTCAGGATTGGGGGCTGAGGAGGCTTTCTTGTTACTCCTTCTTCCCATATTCTTTGTTCCTTATATATGCAAGCGTATATAGGAGGCCCAGGTTCCTTCCCTGTCAGCCACAGTCTGACTGAATTGTACCAGCTAGGTGTTCCCGCCCACCGCAGTGCACCAGGGAGTTACGTACCAGGCAGCCTATGCAGGGCCAACCCCTCCAGGTCAACCTACCAAAGGCTTCACCACTAGGGTGCACCTTCAGGGGCTGGGATCTAGGTTGTGCTAGCCTACTGGGTCTCAGCCAGCAGCATCACGTAAGCTAGGCACTGCTCACCAATTGAAAGGGGGATATGTGACTGAAGTCACTACAGCACCCTGTTCCAGCAAGTCTGCCAGGTCCCAGAATGTCTTGTGTTGGAGCCTCCTAGACCATGGAAGAGTCCCAGTTTCTCTCACTCACCACAGGTCAATGCATGGCTCCCCACCCATCCAGCTCTCAACTCCGTTCACTGATTCCTGTTCTCCGAGCTTTCGCGTGTCTCTCTCCCTGCTGAGCCAATTCAGGCACAGCAGTGGCAGCAGGAAACCCAAATCGCGGCTTCCAATGGCACGGCTCCAGCTTCCACGCTGAGGCTTTATCTGTTCCTGTTATACCACTAGGATTGCATTCCCAGTTGGTTTCTCTCAGCCCAGTTCATTCTTAGGTCAGCAGGGTATATCTCCTCTTGCTTATGATTCCTCACTCCACACCATTCCTGGATTCTAAGATGGGTCTTGCAGAGAGCCTGCATAGCTGCTGCTATCTGTCCGCCATGTTCTTGCCTCCCCCAATGCAGAGGACTCTTAAAGTTTTTGGAGGTTTCAGTCTACACTCAGTTGGCTCCGAGACAGGTGGGCATGTCTGGACAGCAGTTCATGGCAGCTGCAAACAGCAAGCGGAACCAGCAAAGAGCAAGACACACCTTCTTCCTCAAGATGTGGTATTTTTATATAATGGGATATTACTCAGCTATAAAAAGGATGATCTTGAGGCCTTCATAGGTAAATGGAGACAACTTTAGACTATCCTCATAAGTGAAGTAAATAAGAATCATATTTATAAATATCACATTGTGTCTTTAGTGCAAAAATTAATCAGAACTGTAAGAGTAATAAAACCCAAAATGTGTAATTGCTACTGTAAGAAAGAGAGGAAAAGAAAGTACTCTAAAGGATATAACTGCATGTATGTTTAAGTGTATAGGATTGATAACCATATTACTAGGTTTTTGTTGGATCATTGAGCAGAACTGTTTGATATCCACTTTGTATGCTTTACTTTTGTAACTTGAACAACTATTTCTAAGAGGATAATGTGTAATTTATCAACTAGTGATTTCTTACTATTGATTTTTTTGAAATTATGTATTATTTCTCTCCTTGTTTTTTTCTCTTTAAATAAAAATTTAATAAAATAAATCCCATTTATCATTCTTTCTCTCTATTCACAGAAACTTAATTCACTGAAGCCCTGGTGTCTATGTGTCCAACTGCAATATTATTATAATAATTTCATAGTCATCCTTGCCATCATTATTTTTTTCCTGGTTTTTTTTTTTTTTTGGCCAGAGAAAAGAATTGTAACAGTGATTCCCCTGGGCTCTTCCTCCTGTATCCCAGCACTGTTCTAACTGTTCATAAATGCTTGTGTGTGGTGGTGGTGGTGACTTGGACAAAGTGTAAACTCCTATGCTCTGCCCACAGGCCTCTGAGAACCAGGTAGTAGACACTAACTGATAACCTCTGGGGCTCCTCTGGGCTCTGCTTATTTCTGCAACCACCCACTCCTTAGTAAACATCATATCTTCACAGCCTGTGGAATCAATGCTGACATAGAAGAGGAGGACAAACTGAAATGGGAAAATTTATGAAAACACTTCTCTGCTTCAAGCTCTGTGTGTTTTGAGAAGCTTGGAAGTTCCTTTGATATTTCTTGAATCTGAGCATCTTCTCTGCCTTTTTCATGTCAGATTCTCACACTTTGATATCAATGGGAAGATGTAATATATGCATTGAGAATTAATTTATTTCCATAGTAGTTTTGAGAAACTGTTATGCAGGGGACAGGTTATCACACAGTCTGATAAGAGAAGCATTGCCGTATAAGAGAAGGCTAAAATGGAGTGATTTCAGTGAGAATCTGCAACCACTGGTTTGGAGAGTGAGGGGATGTATATAAACACTTGAAAGAGATTTAGGTTATTAAAAAGACATAGGCAGAAACATATATGGAAGTGCTGGAGATGTATGCCACAGCAGAGCAGAGCTACGGAGAGAGTAAACCTGACACTGGGGCTGGCTAGTAAAGAAGTTTGCCTAAATAGAAGCAATCTTCCCAGAACGTGGACTCTGAGATCAGGGTTTGCATGCAGAATAATGAAAAGTGACTCCAGGAACAGAAGAGGGAGTAGGGGAATTGAAACAAAGATAGAGGTAAGACAACACATGAAACTCCTGAGTTGGGATTATCCTTTTGAGATTTACAGGTTGATTTACATATGTAATGATGGACATATATAATGATTTCCGTATACAATGATTCACATACACATATATAAATATGCCATGTAACTGATGACTATCTTCTTATTCCTCCTCCTTTGGTTGCTAACTTAAATCCAAGCAAAAGAATTATGTTCCTCAACCCACAGAAGCAAATAATATATCTGAAGATATCCCTCATATCTTTCAAAGGCTTTGCTTTCTCATATTCTTCCTTCTCACACTGGGACACTTTGGGGGAAACCATATACAGCGAAACTCAGAATTGTCAAGGTGGGGGATAGAAATGTAGTCCCGCAGTGCTTTGTCAGGGACTCCCTGTGGATCAGCTCCTTGTCCCTTGTAGTTCTGAGCATTGTTCAAGCACATTGGTGCAAGTGTCCCTCCACATATTCTTTCTAGCTTGGAAGTCTGACCTCGGGAACTAGTAGGCCTGATACATCTGCTTGGAATGTGCACCAGGGCCTGTGTTTCTGAGGCTGAGTCCCTGTCATGTGCACATGTGTGTTGTGGTTATTATAGTAATTACAAAATACATGCACTTGGCTAGTGTATTTTCAGGTTGTATTACAGGTTTTACCTAGTATAACACTCAGAAAATGAACACCTGATTTAACACTTTCCCCATAAAGAAACCTCAGTTCACACAAGCTCCTGACATTCCAGAAAATAAGAGTAACAATAAGAAAATATCACAGCTGATTCTTCTAATGGCAATCATATTATCAAGTAAATTAAGGACAGTGTAATTAGTTCTGGCAAGATGCCTGTGAGAAATTCAAACTGAGATCTATGACTTTTTGTGGATATGTGTGTAGTCAGGTGAATATTTGGGGAAGTTGACCATATTTCAGTGTTAAGCACGGAGGTTTAATGGAAATTGAGAAGAGGATATCAAATTGGCCAGGGCATTGATATCATGTAGCAAATCAACAATTTAAGCGCACAGACATTGTATTTTAAAGAGTTTTAATTCCCTAAGGGGTCTTAATATGTCATTGTTCATTTTTATATGAGGTAATAAAGTTGTATTTGTTTAAAATGGGTTTAAGTAGAAAGGTCAGACACATCCATTCTGTAGTCTCTGTTCTGCCGCTCCATCCAACAAGCACCCCTCACAAGCTTGTTCTCAACCCTTGATGAGGTTGTTCATGCACTTCTGGTATACAGTGAATGATTCTTTGGCATATGAATTGATTTACAAATATCATCTTTAACATGTAATCATAACCAAATTACATACCATATGAATGACTACTACGTCACCCTTCCTTATCCCCAAGTGTGATTGTGTTTACTTATGAGCTGTGCAGGTTGTTTACAGGTGATGTCCCCAAATTTGCTTGCAGTTTAATTAGGGAGTGTGGCTGAGGCTGAGAATATATTGTCATGAAAGCAAGAGGATGATAATGGATTAACATATAGTTTATTATCCATGGCTATGGTTGAGCTCACATAGACAAGCCCTTATCCATAGGGATAAGATAGGAGATAATGTGTCTGCTGAGACCTGCATGACTCCAGAGTAAAATTACTTCCCAGAACTGGCAACAAAGCAGGTGCTCATTAACTTTAACCAGGTTGCTCCTGTCCTTTGGCAAGAATACTTTGCTCCCTCTGTTACAAGCTTGCCAGCCTTGCCGCTGGTCTAACACATTCATTTGCAATCCCCTCACCATTTCCTCAGTGAATAAATTCAAGGTTCTGGGTGATTCATGGCCTTTTGCTCCTAAAGAGCAAGTGATGATCCCCAATCCCTGCTATATACCCATTTTCTTTGTCTCTTGTTCTTTCTTTTCATTCCTGCCACATACTGAAACCCAAGCAAAAGATCAGAACCCACTGCAGGCATCTCCAATAATACTGCATGTCAAAATGTTTATTTATGATATTATGAATCCACCATGATATTTAAGACATGTAAATTTTGATTTTATACTCATCTTGTTCCTTAGACTTTTTGTATGTGTCATAAAGTTTACAAATCATGTATGAAATTAATAAATAATGTTATTATACTGATATAATTGTGTAAAGAAGATCATTTGGGATTCCCACCTCTGGGTTGGCATAGGAATAGGAAGGTAGCATGCATGAAAAACATATCAGTTCATTGAAATGAACTTGGTAGCTGAACAGATGAGAGGACAAGGTCAGGAAAGAATGAGAGTGACTCTTAGGCTTCCCACTGATGTGATGTTCAAGTGAGGGACGTGGTGCAGAAACGAATACCTGAAGGAGGAGGTAGTGTTGGGACAGTCACAATGGGGTGGGCTATGGGAGGGCTGAAATGCTGATGACCTCGCCAGGGCCTTACAGGTCTTTTAAAATAAGTTACTGTGTTTTCAAATAAAAGATTGATCCTCTGTCTTGGAATTAGCCATCCACAGCCCAGATTGGATTTAATTTTTAGGATCTAAATAGAAGTTGGTGCTGTTATTTAAACCCCTTTCTTGGGTGAGGAAGATAGGTTGATTTGGCACAGAGGAGGTGGCTATGAACCAACCAGGGTAGGCGACAGACTGAAAGGCAGAGGTAGAGCCTTCCCTACTGTGGAAAAAGAGAAAAGGCTTTTGTGATGTTTTCTCCCAGTACAGGTCCATGATGTTGATCTCCTGGGGTAAGAAAATAGGTTTGTTAGTAAAGATGAGGAGACCAGGTTGTCCAAACAGACATCTGCTAGTTCTCAGTAGCCTGGATTCACCCTAATGTTCTGCTATGGTTATATCTGGGTTCCCCCAAAGCCTCATGTCATCATAGAGGTAGACTTCTAGAATCTGTGGTTGATTCATGTTTCAGTGCTAAGATTATGGGTATGAGTGCTACACCCACCCTAGCAAGGGTAGCCTACGTACAATACAAAGGACAGAAAGTGTCTTCTCTCAATACTCCTCCCCTTTTAACTCTTGTGACTTGTGTTGTCTTCTGTTGCCATGAACTGTTGTCCTCTGCTGTGAGCCACCTTGACTTGGCGCCAGGTGATTATAGACTGAAACCTCATGAGCTAAATAAACCTTTTCTTCCTTAATTTTGGGTGTCAGTTATTTTGTGTCATCATGAAATAAAAAAGTAACCAAGACAGGCCCCATGACACAAGATGCTACTGATTCTTTGCTTTAACAGAGGAGAGTTTGCATCTCTTTCTTGGGAGCTCCTGGTACCCATTCATCCTGAGGTTCAAGTTAGCCTCATTGGATTACCAGCCCCCAAATGGGCTTGTATATCACACCTTCCATATTTTTAATTACTGTAAATCTTCCTTTATGCTTATGGTTATTAACATGAATTCTGCTCAATCCAGATAAATGGTCTCTCTCCATTTTCCCAATGTGATTTTCTTTGTTTAACTGATAGCATCCTATTGCCTTAGAGGACTTTTAGATAAAAGTTTATTAGAACTAAGAAGCCACCATTCCTTGGTTTTTCAGAAACATCTCGATGGGTGTCATGACCATCCTTTAGCAGCATTTACTAATCTGAGAACTAGAAAACTCAAGTTTCTTTTCTTGTAGTGATAACTCACAATTATAAACTATCACTTTTTTCTGTAATGCACAAAGTTACATTTAAAAGTCCATTTGATATGTCTCTGAGTAGCTGCATATCCACTCACCTTAAGCTGCAAAGTAGGCCTGCCCTCAGTTTCTGTGAAGTAGAGACTAAGATTTTTGTCCTTGATTCCCAGATAAACCAGATTGCCTTTTTCTTCATCACGGTATTCCATGTCTCTACATGCTATTATTGCAAGAGTGACTGGAAACACAAGGATAAATAAAGATGTAAGGTTCCAAGCAGAAAGAAGTCAGTATTCCAACCTCCCAATCAAGTTATGCATATAAACTGAGCACTCAGGGCATCTCCTGTGGGCTTTTCCCAATAGTACATGATTGAGACACTTGTCACTTCTCTTCAGGCCATTTCCTTTCCCTTCCTTAATATCAGGACCTCAATCCTCATCATGGAACATTACTTTCCAAATATAAAAATAAAATGCACTACTAACTTCACAGCTAAATGCACTTGCGTGCTTAAACTGTGATCCTGGATATGGAAATAGATACATTGGGTAGGATTTCTAAAAGGATTTTCTACATATTATTATGAGACAATGTCTCATAAAAGGAAGCTCAAAAAAGAAGCTAGTGAAACAGAATCCTGAAATATTAATCTCTCTGAATCTGAAGATGTTTTCTTTAGGTAAGGAGAGACATCATTCACTGTTTCTGTAGGTACAGGATTTTCTTTGTGGAAGAGAGCCATCTTGGCTTTTGTTGCACTTTTTTGGGACATTGAGCTGGTTACCAGAAGTTGATGAGGACCAGAATTGGCTCATTCAGGATTACCTCTACCCCTAGTGGAAATGGGGCCCTTACAGAAGCAGCAGTGGTTTTAACTAACACTCACCAGGCTCCACATTGTTGCTAGATGGAACTGCTACTAGTGTATTTCCACTCAGGATCCATACCATCTGTTGGGTATCACGAATGTCATAGTGATTGGGAGTCGCCTGAACTGTCAGATGAGGGAAAAAGAAACACAAGTGAAAGTCTATTTAACTTCCAGAGTTTCAACTTCAGAATTCTTGGGACAGGTTTATTGTTCTAAGAAAATGTGGCTAGGAGGAGAAAGAAAGGGGAACAAGGCAGGCTGGTTTTGGATGAAAACATCAGAAAGAATCTAAACACATTCATTGTCTAAACACATTCATTGTCCTGAGAAACTTTCAAGATTTGCTTTTTGTATTATCTTTTCCTGATTGATAAAGTATGTAGGTAGCAACAAAAGGACAACTATCTCATCTGGACAGCAGTACATTGAGAAATTTTATCTTTTAATCTTTGATCAAGCAATTCTAAATACAGATAACTACAAAATAATTAAATGCCCCAAGGTTTTCTAATATATATTTCTGGGGATTTTAACCAGATTTAATGAACTTATAGCAGAGGAAATGGGGTCTTGTATCATACTGTGTTTGGTGAAGTGGGATAGAGCTACTTCCAAACTATTTTGTGATTCACCACTTACATTCTTGGTTGCCCTCTTGAGGTGATCGCATTCTGTGAGGAAGACAAGGTGTATCAAAGGAGGTGAAAAGGAGGCTCTCAGCAACTAGTCATGGAGAGAAGGAAAACCTGTTATTCATTTATCTTCCCTTTCCCCTGAAGTTTTCTGTAAAACTTTAGAAAAAGGTTCCCTCCGTTGAAAGGAGTTTGGAGCAGGACTGGCCAGCTGCCCTGCATCAACCCTCGGTGAGTGAGCCAACTGTGACCCTTCCATAGAGAAGGAGGCTTCAGCGGAGGACATAGACTGGGCAGACTACCCGGAAGGAGAAGCTGCAGTGACTTCAGTCACATATCCCCCTCTCAAGCAGGATAGGTGGGGAGTGCCTGGCCTGTGAGAAGCTGCTGGCTGAGACCCAATAGCCTAGCTCAACTCAGGTCCCAGCGCCTAGAGGTGCACCCTAGCTGTGAAGCCTGTGGTAGGTTCACCTGGAGGGGCGGGCCCACCATAGGCTACCCAGGTCTGTGTCTCCCTGGTGCTGCTGCGGTGGGCGGGAACACCTAGCCAGCGCAACTCAAACAGACAGTGGCCAACAGGGAAGGAAGCTGGGCCTCCTATACACGCTTAAATATAAGGAACAAAGAATATGGGAAGAGGGAGCAACAAGAAAGGGCCCTCAGCCCCCAAACCTGAGAAACATGCAATAGTAGACACGGCACCAATAAACATAAAGTGCTATCTCCAGGGTAGCCTTAGTTCCCCAGGTTGTGGTGGCCTTGAGATGCCATTAATCATTGCATCTGAGATGGTTAGGAGTTTGCAAAACATCACCCCAAGACCCTCCAAAGAAGTAAGCACCTGAGTTCAGAGAAAAGGAGGAGTGTGTGTCTACACACTTACTTGTTAGAATGCAAGTAACACTTACAGAACACCAAACAATTATGACAAAAAAATAAGCTAACAAAGGCATGCCCTTTTAAAATTATCAGATATCTAACAAAAAGTAGAATTTTAAAGGCAGACCCAGAAAAATAAAAAATCACATATAGAGGTAAAACCAGTTAGAAATCACAGGAGACTCTCAACATACCCACTAGAGGCCAAGAGATTTTCAACTTCCACCCCAGATGAACTAATCCAGCAATGCCATCCTTCAAAATAAATGGAGAAATAAGAGAGTTCCATGAAAAATACCAGCTCAAAAGATACACGAGTACTAAATCAACTGTTGAGAAAATACTTAAGTGTATTCTTAACAGAAATCACAAAAAAGACACAGCAAAAAATGCTAAGGAAATTAGTGAGGTCAATGGATAAGCAGCAACAAAAAATGTCAGAAACATAAAAATGATTCACCAACAAGGAAGGTAATGATAATAAATAAATAACATACCTCAGTAATATCTCTCAAGGTTAATGGCCTTGACTCTCTAATTCAAAGACACAGATAGGAAGACTGTATCAAAAAACAGAATCCAACAATCTGCTGCCATTTGGGAAACTCATATAATCCAAAAACGATATTCACAGTTTAAAAGTTAAAGCATGGAAAACAATATTCCATATATTAGGACTATGAAAGCAAGCAGGGGTAACATTTGTAATATCAGACATAATAAACTTCATGCTAAAACTGATTAGAAGAGACAAAAAAGTTCACTATATTCCAGTTAAAGGACCAATCCAGTAAGAAGAGGTATCCTTAGTAAACACACTGCATCAAATCTTGGAATACCTATCTTCTTCAAACAAAAATTACTGAAATTAAAACATCAAATAAACACTAACAAAATCCTATTAGATGATCATAACTTCCTGGATTCTCAGAGATACATCAACTAAAGAAAAAAAAACAACAGAGCCCATTCACACCCTTAAAAGTATGGGTTTAAAAGATGTATACAGAGTATTCTTCCCCTCTACCACAGAGTATACACTCTTTTCAGCAGAATGTGGTACTTTTTCCAAAACAGATCACATACCAGTCCACAAAACCAGTTTAAGTAAATATAAAATAATTCAAATTATCTCATATATACTATCAGACCAATATGGATTGAAAATAGAAATCAATGACAAAAGAAATTTCAAAAAAAGCAAAAGCTCTAGGAAAATTAACAAAATACTCCTAGACAACAAATGAATCATAGAAGAAATCAAATAACTAAATTTAAAATTTCTGGAACTTAGTTAAAATGACTGAATGACTCACTGAAACCAGTGAGCAACTATGCAAGCAGTTCCAAGAGGAAAATTCATTGCAATCAATGCTCATATTAGAAAAATAGAAAAAGCTCAGATAAATAATAACCTTGTGAGAAATCTGAAGATAGCTTATAAGCAACAACAAACGAGCCTCTCTGCAAAACTAAGGGAGAAGACTTTAAAGATGAGAATGTAAACTATGAAATAATTTTTGGAAAATCATTAAATGAAGTTTAGGCTTTAAAAACAAACAAAAAATTAATGAATCAAAGAGCTGGTTCAGGGATGGTGGTTCAGCGCAGCAGAACAAGTGCCTGCCTGATAAGCAAAAGCAAAAACAAAAAGCTGTTTTTCTTAAAAGAATAAATAAAATGGATTTACAGGTGAATGAACACTGTCTCTAGTCGTTTTTGTTTTGCTTAGAAATCCTTTTGATTTGTCCTTCATTTTTTTTCTCCTGTCTTCTCCAGTTTCCCAAAATTCATATGTTCATCTTTAGTCCTTCAGCCTCACTTTTACTATATTTCTCTTCAGCTTTCACTCTTTTTTGTCCCCTAGTCCCTGAAAATTCCCCTTCCACACAGGATAAAATCATCCTACATGCAAAACCCACTGCATACAAGTTTTTGGTCTATTTTCGGAGGTCACTATACAACTATAGATCTTGTTCTGATGGTCAGAGATATCAAATTAGTAGTCACCACAGATTAGCACTTTCTGAGCTATGCTTGATGATATTGTTATTAGTAATTTACTACCTTACCCAAGATGCCATACTAAGTTGTGATCAGTTGTTCATATTTGCATGATAACACTGTAATGATCTGTGCTCACAATCATTCTTATAGCCCAGTACCAAAGGACTGGGTGATGAGCCAAATAGGTAGAAATGCATCATCCACAATAAAGTGGAAGACAGGATTTGGGACAGACACAAAGATTAACAGACAACTAAACCTAGAAGATGCATTGGAGGAATAGACATTTCTAGGAATGCTTATTATGTTTAATATGCTTTATCACTAATACATATTAGTGATAAAGCTACCTAACATAACAAAAATACAAACAACAACATAGAAAACAACTTAAAATTTTAAAAAAATAGAAAATGGAAAGATCCAGAAGCAAAATGCAATCCCAAACTTCTAGCACACAAAGGATAAATCCAAGGAACAATGAGACAGAGGAAAACAGTAGCCATCTACCTGAATTCACTGAAATGACAGAAGAAAAAGAAAAAGAAAAAGAAGAAGAAGAAGAAGAAGAAGAAGAAGAAGAAGAAATATATATGTATAGAGCATATCAGAAAAGAAATAATCTCACAGATATAAAAAAGAGATTAAAACCTTAATGAAGGATTTTCTTATCAAATCTATAGTAGATACAGATTAAAAATAGAGGGACATAGAAAAACAATAGAAACAATGACTGTTGAACATAGGGAAAAAATGAAATCCATGAAATGGATTCAAATAGATATCCAGGAAATTAAAAATATCATTGAAAGCTTGCAAAACCATAAAAGAGGAGGTGAAGATAGACTATCAGACCTAGGAGATAGAATCCTGGTTAATATTACAAAAAGAAAGATCTCTTTAAAATAACAAGGGACCATGAAAATACAGTCTAAAAACTGGAAGATGTTGCAATGAAGAACAACATAAACTTCACTGTAGTCAATGAAAATGCAGGTGTCCATACAAATACCATAAAAAAAATTTATTCAGAAAAATAATAGCAGAAATCTTCCTAAGCACGGAAAAAGAATTTGACATACAGATAAGTGAGGCAGACAGTTTACAAATCATGACCTAAACAAATTCACACCAAAGGATATAATAATCAAGACTCCAGAAATTCATGACAAGAACAGAGTATTAAAAAATGTTATAGAAAATAAACAAATCACCTATAAAGGAAAGCTCATCAGAATCATAGCAGACTTCTTGATACAAACCTTTAAGTCTAGGACAGCTTGGAGTAAAGTATTTCAACCCCTGAAAGAAACCAACCCAGATTGATGTATTCTGCAAAATTGTCTTTCAAGATTAATGTAGAAACAAAGTACTTCTCTAAAAAGAACAACTGAAGAAATTCAGGACACCGAAATCAGGTATACAAAGAGTTCTAAAGGATACTGCAGGAAGAGAGAGCAAAACCCACAATTCCAAGAGTACCAATAGAAAGAATCCAGCAGTCAGGGGAAGCAATTAAACAGAGGGGAAAGACAAAGAACCATCAACAGGAAAAATACATGACAAAGACAAGCCAATACATACCATTTATAACCATTGATGCCCAGGGTCTCAATTCAATAATCAAAAGAAACAGCCTGTAGACTGGATTAAAAATGAGATCCAACAATATGCTGCATTCAAGGAACATGTTTAACTCAAAAAGAAATTCATAGACTGAAAGTCCAAGGATGGAAAAAAAAAATACTCCATGTGACAGGAATCCAGAAAAAGCAGGAATATCCATACTATTCACAGACAATGTGAACTTCAAGTCAAGCCTAATAAAAAGAGTTAAAGTAGGACACTACATACTTATTAAGGGAAAACTCCAAGAAGAAGAGATAACAATTATAAATATACATATGCACAAAATATGGGGGAATCTGCCTATATAAAACAAATATTAGTGGACATGAAAAATTAAATAAGCACTAATACAATTGTAATGGGGGACCTTAATAATCACTGTCACAAATAGATCAACTAGATAAAAAATATCAACAAATAAGTATCAGAACTGAATTAAACCTGTGAACAAAGGGACTTAATAGAAGTCTACAGGGCATTCTACCACACAATATTAGAGTACATATTCTCAGGCTTGCATGTGATATTTTCCAAAGTAGAGAACATGATAGCCCATATCTGACTAAATAAGTGCAG